ACATCTGGTGAAAATTTCATGTCATTAGCACCTCTAGTAATATATTTACTGAGAAAAATGGTGACGTGTTCAATACTTATTTTACCCGCTGTATGTAAATAAACAGCAAAGGATATCACTCAGCATAGCACAACAATAGGTTATTTATTTATGCACTGATAATTTGTGAAGGCAGCTACTGACAACATGAAGTCAAAAGTAAATGTCTCCGAGGCAACTTTTTTAGCTGTTAAATACATTTTGTTGTGTGCTTGGAGTTTCTAGGAGGCAGAAAAGTTTAATTGAGTCTCTCCCGGTGCTGCTTAGATACCTTCATATTCTGTTTGGGTCATAGTTTTTTTGTTGACATCCTTTAATTAATTTGTAAATAAACTGTTTCGGCATCATAAAACCCTCTACCAAAACACCCGCTTTGGATGTTATCATCCATGAAATGATGTTCTGGAAACTGAGGAGAGAGGGGAGTGCCTTGTTTGGATTTAAAGAGACAGCCTCAAAATGAGTTGACCTGAGCCACGCCTCAGAAAAAGTGCTGAAAGAGGGGCTTGTGGAGTTACAATAAGGAGGAATTCAGACCAAAGCAATGCAGTTCTACTTTATATAGACCCCAACTGAACTATTTAAATGGGAGAAAGAAAGATTTAAAAGCACAGTATGTCCCCTTTAATAGACTGGGGATGGACAACTTACTGGAAGAGGCCACAACATGACACCAGAGGGCCACATTGTGCTACATACCTTCACAAATGTTATAAAACAGCCACTTAAAAATATTTGTTTCTATGTTTGCTTAATCAAAATACAGCAACATAAAATATTTCATGCTCAAATGCATAACAGTTTTATCCTTCTGTAAATGTGAATACAAAATGTTTGAAGCAAACAAAATATAAACAGTTAGAAGCTGAAGTGCAACAGCATCACAGAGAAAGTTGTTGTCGTTTATGTACATACAACTTCAGTAAACGTCTCATATTTAGCTTTGTGCAACGTATTGCAGCGGCGACTTCTATTAAAATATTTCATGACAGACACGGTCTCTAAGAAGCCTAAACACTTAAGTTTACCTTGATAGGACTCAAAACGGGTCGAAGAGCTCTTCTTTTTGGCGGTGGGGCTCATTGGCAGGCCGGATGTGGCCTGCACGCTGCCAGTTGCCCATCCCATGATGTATGTAATTGTAAATATCATAAGCATGGTGTGAAATCTTAAAGTGTTTACTTACTTAGCTGTTTTTGTGAAGTAGGCCTGCTTTTTGTTTCACCGATAAAAACTTGATTGAAGATATATAAAAGCAGCAAAACTTATCTTTTCACCTCACAATCTATTTATAAACCCAAAGTCACGACCTGACTCCTTACAATGAATTTGTGTCTGCAGACATAGGCAAAAAACATTATTATGCATATGCTTTTGGCAGCAGGCAATAAAATGTACCAATAATAAACCAGGTTGCATGTTTTCCTCTATAGATCAAGATTTGTCACTGTGTTCTGACAGATTTTTGTAAATGTTCCCTATTTTTTTCCATCCTGTTTTTTGGGCAGCAGTTGGAGAAGGTGCATATTTACTTTAAAACACTTACCTCAACGTTGGAAAGAAATTCGAAAGCCGCAAAAGCAGCAGAGTTTGCAAAAAGAAATTACCTTCATTTGAAAGATCACTGTGGTTTCGGTCCACTTTGTTATTTCTCAACCGAGTTTCAAATTCTTCCTTATGTGCCGTTTGGTCTGTCTTCTTCTGAGTGCTTCGATTGGTTTCTCTGCGTATTACTCCATACCCCTGCTGAATCATATTGCCAAGCTGTTTACCCTCTTCAGAATTCTTCATCTGATCCAAATTCCTCACCAACAAAGAAAGAGCATTTTGCAGAGAAGGATGGAGGCAAACTTCATCTCTCAGGCATCTGTTTCCTTTCATGTTCCTTTGCTCACATTCCTGCTGGCTTTCTTCAAGCGCCCGGGCCGGTCTGTCACACAGGCTTCAGAAATGACACAGGACTGGAAAAAATTCTGCACGGTTCATGTGACTAAAACATTTAATATTTGCGTACGCATTTAAACATCAGGTGTGGGAAAACTATTAAACAGCCTTTCAAAGATTGGTAATAGTGGTGTGTTTGTTTAAATCAGCAATGTAAATATGTTATCTCATTTAAAATGTGCTGGAAAGTGTAAAAAAACACTTCTTCTGGAAAATCTCTTTGGAACAGGAAAGGTACATTTACTACTAAAAATTAGTCTAACTCCTCATCACTCTCTGTTYAGCCTGCTTTTTAGAAACGTGGCACTTTTTCTTTTGCCATCTAAGGTGTGACAGGAGTGGATGCTCAGAACAAACACTTCCCTGTGTCTGAGCAGGGGCGTGGTTTTATTGTACTACTCTTTGACGTCAAAGTACGTGAGAAACGCACGAACCACTCACGATAAAGTCTCTTATTAACGTATGACTAGAATCTGTGAAGTGCTTCAAAATAAAACACACACGAACAATTATATCAAAAATAAAGCGTGTTTAACTAATTGTTTGATAAAATACATAACCTCCTATTTTAAATGATAGTTTTCTTCAAACTAAAATTAACTTAATATCTTGAATTTTTTTCATTTTGATAGCTTAGACTTTTATTTTGAAGGTAGACATACAGGAAGTTGCGCATTAATCGCTTACTTAACGCTCCTCCACGTTTACCAGGAAGTAGCGACATTTCTTAAAGAAGAGAAGTCTTTTTCTGAATGAAGAGACAGACAAACTCTTTTTAGTTTGACTCTACGTTCACTCGTGTTGTCTTTTTTGAGATTTTCCTCGAAACTCCGCCGGAAGTGACTACTTAGCATATTATTTACACGACTATTTGGTGAGTATTTTACACACACAGAGCTTGGTTTATTATGTTACTGTTTGTCAAAAAAAAATAGATTTTTTTTTATTTGCTGACACGCGTAATTAAGAAAGTTAAAAGAAATGTGAACATGTAGCAGGCTTAATGTATCCGCATATAAAAAATACAACATATTGTTTCATGTTAGACAAGTTATGAGTTTAACTAGTTAACATGCTACACAGGTGAGTCACATACCTGTCAAATGGACTTAATGGGTGTGTTCAGGGGATCAGGCAGAGATGGATCCACTAATATCACTGCAGGAAAATGAAATGGCTGCTGATTTTTGAATATGTGGTGTGTGTGTGTGTGTGTGTGTGAGACAGACCCTGAAGATGGCAGAGAAGGTGCTGGTCACAGGTGGAGCTGGATACATTGGGAGTCACTGTGTGGTGGAGCTCATTGAAGCAGGTTACCAGCCGGTGGTGGTGGATAACTTTAGTAATGCTGTGAAAGGTAAGAACAATCACCAAATTATTATTTCAGGTGCTGATTTACACCGATACTAATATCTGCTATCTCTAAATGTGAGCAGGAAAGGGGGATGTGCCTGAGAGCATACGAAGAATAGAAAAAATTCTGAACACCACCATTGAATTTCATGATCTTGACCTCCTGGACCGACCTGGCTTGGAAAAACTCTTTGAAAAGGTCAGAATGCTAATAAAACCGAGCTTGTTAATGAACCGTTTAACTCAGGGGTGTCAAACTCATTTTCACCGAGGGCCATATGGTGGCCCTCAAAGGGCCAATTGTAGTTTTGACGTTTCATGTTTAACTTTGACTAAACCGTGTTTTAACATGTCCTCTTTTAAACACTGATGAGAACTAAGTGTACGACTGACTAAATCTGAAATAAATTACACAGAAATGTGCTATCCAACTAAATTGCTCAGTTACAGCTCAGGGGCAGGACAATTATATTCTTTCAACTTTTTTTACATTTATTTTGTTGCATTTAATCATAAATTTAAAGTTTACCATTGATATATGAAGCAATTTTCATATTGAGAATTTTATTTTATTTATTTATAACTGAAAGACAGGTTCTCTGCTGTAAATTTTTGATGAGCGTCGTTTGGGTATTTTTTCTTGTCAATATAATGTAAAGAAGGCAAACATGATTGTTATATAACTAATTGCTTCATTACGTCAAGAAATTTTTGTGTTATCATTTACAGCGGGTAAAATAAGTATTGAACACTCTTACTGAAATTTATCTAATACTTTGTACAAAAGCCTTTGTTGTCAATGACAGCTTCAAGACGCCTCCTGTATGGAGAAACTAGTGGCATGCATTGCTCAGGTGTGATTTTGGCCCATTCTTCCACACAAACAGTCTTCAAATCTTGAAGGTTTCGTGGACCTCTTCTATGAACTCTGATCTTTAGTTCTTTCCATAGATTTTCTGTTGGATTCAGGTCAGGTGATTGGCTGGGCCATTCCAGCAGCTTTAGTTTCTTTCTCTGAAACCAACTGAGAGTTTCCTTGACTTTGTGTTTGGGCTCATTGTCTTGCTGAAATGTCCAGCCACGTTTCATCTTCATCATCCTGGTAGATGGAAGCAGATTTTTATCAAGAATGTCTCTGTACATTTTTCCATTCTTCCTTCCTTCAATTATTTGAAGTTTGCCAGTACCATATGCTGAAAAACAGCCCCACACCATGATGTTCCCACCTCCAAACTTCACTGTTGGTATGGTGGTTTTGGGCTGATGTGCAGTGCCATTTGACCTCCAAACATGATGTGTATTCTGGCATCCAAACAGTTCAATGTTGGTCTCATCTGACCAGACTATATTCTCCCAGTATTACACAAGCTTGTCTAAATGTTGTGCAGCAAACTTTAAAGGAGCTTCAACATGCTGTTTCTTCAGCAGTGGAGTCTTGCATGGTGAGCGTGCATACAGGCCATGGTGGTTCAGTGCATTACTTATTGTTTTCTTTGAAACAATCGTACCTGCTAATTCCAGGTCTTTCTGAAGCTCTCCACAAGTGGTCCTTGGCTCTTGGACAACTCTTCTGATAATTCTTTTCACTCCTCTGTCAGAAATCTTGTGAGGAGCACCTGGTTGTGGTCGGTTTATGGTGAAATAATGTTCTTTCCACTTCTGAATTATGGCCCCAACAGTGCTCACTGGAACCTTCAGAAGTTTAGACATTCTTCTGTAACCGATGCCATCATTATGCTTTGCAACAATAAGGTTGTGAAGGTCTTGAGAGAGCTCTTTACTTTTACCCATCATCAGATGGTTCTTGTGTGATACCTGGCCATCATTTGGGACTGAACCAGCTGATATTAACTTGCACTGACAAGGGGCAGGCTTGCTTTCTAATTACTGAGAGAGTTCAGCTGGTGTCTTCTCTTCCCATGCCTTTTTTACACCTCCCTTTCTTCGTGTTCAATACTTTTTCCCTGTGCCATTCCACATTATTACAAATAACTTCATTTCTGGACATTTATGGTTTGATTTCTTTGTATGTATGGATCACTTACCAACATCTGGTGAAAATTTCATGTCATTAGCACCTCTAGTAATATATTTACTGAGAAAAATGGTGACGTGTTCAATACTTATTTTACCCACTGTATATTCTTTGATAAATGGCCCCCAAAACATCATAAATTCTGGCAGGGTAATGTAAGCYTTTGAGCACATCTGTATTAGTGTGCATTTTAAAATWAAAATARAATCAGTRTTTGCGCTAGATTTCAAGGTGTACAGTGTAAGAAATACTGGAGGTTTTTTTTTTTTTTTAAACAGATTCGGGTTGATTTATCCATTCAAAAATACTTTATTGATCCCAGAGGGGAATTAGGTAAAATTTAAACTTAATTTATTTGAAATAATCAAGTTTATTGGAAGCTAAATAAAATCCTGCTGACAACAATGAATGAAAATAGTATTGTAATGTAAAACATGCATTTACTAACCTGTAAATCTGTGATAAAGCATTCTTTCAGTGCTGTGATGCACTTTGCTGGATTGAAGGCTGTCGGGGAGTCTGTGGAGCAGCCGCTGCGTTACTACAGAGTCAACCTCACTGCTTCCATGAATTTACTTGAGGTCAGTTTCATTTTGCACTTTTCTGGTCTGATTTGACACAATATCCACTTAGTGTTTTGCATGTTTCACCCCCCTTCTTTTTTCTAGAACTGAACAGCAAATATTCTAATCCTCACCCCCTTTTTTTGCTGAATGCACTGTTTATTGGAAAGTGAGTTGGCGAAGTCTAACAGCATAACTTGCGTGTTTTTGTTTGTTTGTTTGTTTTTAATGTTCGGAGCTCACCCCGTCTGCTAAAATCAGCCTGTTTGTTTCCTGTAAGCGTGTGCGCCGTCTCGCTGGCCTGCTGACTGTACGCCTGTGCCGTGTTTATTTGCATCTGCATGTGTCTCAGGTGATGCAGGCTCACAAGGTCCACAATCTGGTATTCAGCAGCTCGGCCACAGTGTACGGAGACCCCCAGCACCTTCCCATAGACGAGCAGCACCCGGTGGGATCCTGCACCAACCCCTACGGCAAGACCAAGTACTTCATCGAGGAGATGATCAAGGACCATTGTAAAGCAGAAAAGGTGCTCGTCAGAATGTCGACGAACCCTCAGAGCAGATTTGCTCTGTGCAGGCAGTTTTATTCCCTTTGTGTTTGCAGGACTGGAACGCGGTGCTGCTTCGTTATTTCAACCCTATCGGAGCTCATAACTCTGGTATGATCGGGGAGGATCCTCAGGGTATCCCAAACAACCTGCTGCCGTACGTYGCTCAGGTTCGTGAAAAATCGCCTCAAATTACAGACTTTATGTATATATATTTTTGACCGTCGTGTCATTAAAACCCCAGTTTTTGATGCTCATAGGTTGCAGTTGGAAGGAGAGAGTATCTCAGTGTGTTTGGAAATGACTACAACACTATTGATGGCACAGGTAATGTTACGCTTGAACTTAATTGTTCTTAAATAAAACAAACTAATAAAAATCATGTTGACCTTTTTTTTTTTTTTCCTTTCTTAGGTGTGAGAGATTATATCCATGTTGTAGATCTGGCAAAGGGACACATCGCAGCTTTAAAAAAGCTGAAGGACAGCTGTGGATGCAAGGTATATTTAGGAGTAAACAAATCATATAAATTTATTTATTTGTGCAAACTAGATGCGTTTCCATTTGCTCTGGCATTTGGGTATTTTTTTTTCCCTGCACACAGGTTTACAACCTTGGAACAGGAAACGGTTACTCTGTGCTCCAGATGGTGAAAGCGATGGAGAAGGCATCAGGAAGGGAGGTGAGTCACTCAAGAGCCCTTCTGCTCCTCCACTTAAATCCAGATTTTTTTTTGTGTTGTCGTTTTGTGTCCTTTTGTGAAGGATTGTTATCCAGTGGGTGTAAGATGATGATGGCGACTATGTAAATGTCAATTCATGGCATTAAAATAGTTTGGTTTTAATGTAATGGACGTTTATTTCTTTTAAATRTAGATTTCATACAAGATTGCTCCTCGTAGAGGAGGAGATGTAGCCTCGTGTTACGCTGACCCTCAACTGGCTGAGAAGGAGCTGGGCTGGAAGGCTCAGTTCGACTTGGACAGAATGTGTAAGCACAGCCACACTGATAAACCACTCCTGCAGAGTAATGAAAGTTTCCTCATGAATTTTCTAATCTGTCATTTTTTTATTTTTTTTGCAATTCTAGGTGAGGATCTCTGGCGCTGGCAGTCCAAGAATCCCACAGGATTTACCAACGGCCCTGCGCCTTGATGCACCTGCTTGTTACTGATCTTCCAAACAACAATCTGTTATCTGTTATTTCTGTATCATGTTAAAGATTATAGTTGCAAACTGAAATCAAACATGGAAAAAGCTTGTTCTGATCAAATGATGCAGTAATTTTCCAAATATACTGATGTACTTTGCTGAAATGTGGGTCCACACTAAATGTAAACAAAGCACTTTTTTCTGCACACTTAGCATATCCATGGGTGTATTTTTTTTTGGGGGGGGGGGCTGTATGACCTGATGATAATTTGATCCAGTCAATAGTTACCCCCCCACCCCCGAAAAAAATAAAATAAATTGTATCATTTGCACTTATACAATAGAAACTAGCTCTGTCTTCTTTTGTCACTGTTTGGCTGTATTTGTTGCACCAGGTAAATACATACTGGACAACTGAGAAATTTAGGGATGTCTTATAACACATCCTGAAAATGTAAAAAAAAAAAAAAAAGTTACTATTGGAAGAAATTGGAGAAAAAGGTAAACCTTTTATTTGAACTGATGTGTAACAGAAAAGGCACAAAGTAAATACAAAGAAGACAGAAAAGTTAAAGCATATTACAATGTATTTTACTCCCAAAATATCYTGAATTGTTTTACAAAAGCAAACAATTCAGCAAGTAAATTGGCAGAGACCATRACCCCCCCAATGGTAGACCTAAAGTTACACCCTTGAGCTTCAAATTTATCAAACGTCTCACTACTTTGAATCCCTTCAGCTCATTCCATACGATGTCAACTGTTTACATAAAACATCTGTATAAGGAGGGTATTGTATTATTTTTATATACATGACTGGTTTTCATGACGTTGCAATGAGTAACTTTAACACATCCTCAGGCCTCAAGTAAATTAAATATTTGAATGTTTGTTTTTTGTTGTTTTTGCTCAGTGATTAGTTTATTTCAGTCAATTATAAGCAATGAAACATGCTTAAATGTCTTTGTCAGGTAATTTAAGGTTCAATGAGGGATTTCTATAAATGTCTTCCATGGCAATGAAAAAAAAATCTTTTTTATTTTTTAAATAAAGATTTCATTTGCACCATGTTGGGATCTRCTTGAGTGGTTTATGCTCGGTTTTTGTCAAAATTTTTGTTTGTGTAAATTTGAAATTATGGGTGTTCAGTTTTATTTTTTTTAAAGGGACACTGGGGCTTTAAATGGCTCCTTGAACCTTCGGGGCACCCTGTTAATAAACACCCACGTCAGCACGGAGCTCCAGTCGCTCTGACCGGGTTTCGGTCTTTAGGGCTGAGCAGGAAGTGCCTGACTGTGGACCCTGGACCGGGGGGTGGGACGGGAGGGGAGGAAAAAGAGGAGCTGGGGAGGGTGAAACGTTAAAAATAATAATAATAATAATAAATGAAAATGGATATGGTGGCAGAGTTGGGGGCGAGTAGACACTATCGGGCGCCGGGTGAACCGAGCCACCAGTGAGTATCGAACGCTTTTTGTCTGGGCTTCCAGGGCGTTAAGCGGGTCTCGCCGACACCTCTCGCCTGAGAAGGAGCTTTTCGGTGTGGGCAGCAGGCAAATCCTCCTCGCTGCTGCGCTCCGGACCTCCGGCGTGAAGTGAGAGGAGTGGGTGTGTGTGTGGCGGGGTGATATGAGGATAAAACCGGGCGTTTTAGCGCGCTCTGGCTTTAGGTGTTGATGTGTTTATTTCCCTGTTCGCAGCGTGCACAGAAGCCGGAGGGTTCGTCTGTTTTTCCCCCCCATTGTGTGCCGCGGCTGAAGCCTGAAGTGGGCGTCGCTCCAGGACAGGCTGGGCTGCTCCGGTGCGGCGCTGCCCGCTTTTTCTCTCGCAGGACTGCAGCACCGTCGTGTCGTGTTTGTAGGTCAAACGATGCCGGGGTTTCGTGGAGGAAAGCTCTGTTGGGATGTGGTTTGGTTTTAGTGCTGCGGGCGGGCGTTTCATCGAGGGTTATCGGGCGCTGCGGAGCCTCCTCAATAAAGGCTGCGGCGCAAATTAAAAAAAAAGAACGCGTTTGTGCGGAAATTTCATAAAGATGAAGATTTCTTATATATAAATATTTAATTATGAAGATGGACACATATATAATAAATGTATAATATGGCCTATATAACATATTTATATAAATATAAATTTGCACTGCATGTCCAGCTGCACTATGTTTGTCTCAATTAATCTGATGTGTTGGATTCATCACTGATTTTTTTTGCCTTCCTTGAACTCATCACAGAAATGATTAAAGGGTTTTGTCACCCGATGCTCTCTGTCTGAAGTCGGGCGTAACATATTTAAAAAAAAAAGACTCTTTTGACTGACAGATTGCCCAGCAAATCACAACCCAGAATGAAGTCAGGTGGGCGGGGTTTCTTATTTATTATGACAAAGATGCAATAAATAACAGATTTACATATATTTGAAATGCGACCAAGCAGCTAAAATTGATGATCTGGAGAATAATATGTTGCAGTGTGGATGTGAAGTATTTGGGTCAGCCCTGGCAGTTTTGTAGATGTGTTTTTGAGCTGGTATGGACCAGTTTTGTCTTTTGTTTTGGGGAAACTGTGATTCTTGGCAGGACTTGTGTCAGGCCTGAGGTGTCGTTTATGCAAAATGTGGCACAAATGTGTCATGGAAGTTTCAGCTGGGTTACTTTATTCAACCTGCAGAAAGAATATGGACACAAGTACAAAATTAAAAAAATATGTGAAGACATTTTGAAGAGTCGATGCAGCTATTATATGCTTTATCACAATTCGGTCTATGTTGTGTGATGAGGTGTCAAGCATATTCACATTCTTTACATAAGTAGAAATATAATTACTAGAGTTTTTAAATACCTTTTTAGAAGTAGAAGTATCAACTTAAGCTTTTTAATCAAGTAAAGGTGCATGGTTTTAAAGTTACTTACTGTAAGGGGAAAATGCTATTAAGGATAAAAGCTTAGACCCTGCCACATGTAGCGCAAAAGCCCACCTCCACGCCAAAAAACCATCTGAAATAGAAATTAAATACTTTTACATTTTAAAATGTACGCAGTCGAAAGTAGAGATAATTTCATGAAAATGTAGGTGTAGAAGTAAATGGCTGAAAATAAATACTCCAATAAAGTGCAAATGATCAAAATTCCTATTAGGGTAAAGTAACAAAGTATTTGTACTTGTTTACTTGACACCTCTGCCTGTGATGGGGCCACTACCAAAAGTCATATAAAACTTTTAATCAAATCAACCATATTTTGGGTGTAAAATATCTATCTTCATGCCATTATACTCTCAACCATGTCGTACTGTTTACCTGTTTGGTCTCTTACAACAAATGAGATCTTAGAACCCATAGTTAGGCTCTACAACAGGGCCTACAAAATTCATAAAAAACTTCCTGGTTGGACTCATCACTGTACAGTTCTTTCATTGTCTGATGCCTTGACTTTTCAGAATTATCTTCCAAGGTGCCAATTAGGAACTCTCTTTGCATTGTTGCCCAAATCAAATTCTGGAATTGGTCATTCAACTAGATCTGGACAACTGATATTACCAACTTTTAAAAACTGTTACGGCCAGAGGTCTTTCTTCTATGTTTATACTAAAGCATGGAATGACATTCCTCAAAACATAAAGTCCATTTCAAAACTACAGCCCTTTAAGAAGAATCTTGTCTGCCATCTGCTGGACACTTTTTGTTGCGCTCATATTTAGACATCCTATTTTGCAAATGCTGCCTTCCTGAAATTTGGTATGCTTGTTTGTCTTTGTGTCTATGGTGTATAATGATGAGATTGTGATGCTGTAATTCTAAGTGTTTTATGTGCTGCAGAACAGGAATCTGCTGTAAAACAGCAATTATGCTGAGTCAGGCTTGATTTTTAGTAATCTTTTCCTGTTAAATCAATAAATCAAATCAAATTAAAATCTACGTTTTATTACAAAGCTGTGAACATTTTGAATAAAGTAGTAATAAAGGTGCTTCAACAATGTTTCAGGGGAGGGGTGCTCTGTGGGGCAGGAGCTCGGCTGCAGACTGAGCTCCAGGGAGGAGCTTTGTGTAAAAAGGCGGTGCTTTGTATGAGCAAGGCAGCTCCCCATGGCTACCACAGGAGATTCAAGGATTTTTCTAACATCCACAAAAGAGTCAAAGCAACACTCTGGTTGTGTTTTTCGTGAGGGAATGACATGATAACATGATATAAAGCTCAGAAGTCAATTTTGCATAATACCACCCCTTTAAAATGTGAGATTAAAATGAAAACAACCTCCCACTATCTTTAATMATTTCTGTGTGCTGAGTGAGTTTTTTCTTCCATTTTAAGGCCGTGTGTGGTGCATTCACAGGCAGTAAGAATGTCATGTTGTCTCCTGCAGGCAGCCTCAAAGGTGGTTCAATACGGCTGACATCACAGCGTCTCACCAAAGCAGCCTGCTGAAGCAGCTCAACCAGCAGCGCCACCAGGAGCTCTTCTGTGACTGCAGTGTTCTGGTGGAAGGTCAGCTCTTCAGGGCCCACCGGAACGTCTTGTTCGCCAGCAGCGGGTACTTCCGCATGTTGCTGACCCAGGGGCCCGACGGGCTGCCCGACACCGTCAACGCCACCTTTGACGTCTTCAGCCCAGAGACATTTACTGTCATCCTGGACTTTATCTACTCCGGCCAGCTGGACCTCTCCAGCCACAATGTGATTGAAATCATGTCTGCAGCCAGCTACCTGCAGATGAACAGTGTCATCAACTACTGTAAGAACTTCATCAAGTCCTCCTTGGACATCAGCGTGAAAGACGAGGACAGCGACCGCTGCCTCAGCTTGTCGGAGACGTGCTCGTTCACCAGTGGAGCAGGGGACGAGTCCACAGAGCACCAGCAGCAAGGCCCCCGCTCTGTGAGCCCGCCACCAGCCCTCTGGACCCGCGACAACTCCAGATCCCAGTCTGGGTTTATGGGGAAAGACGGGGAACAGGAAGCGTCTGCCGCTGCCATTAAGACCAATCCAAGCAGCCCAGTCAATGAYTTTAATGCAGAGGTAGATGACCTGCAGGACCCTCAGGACCCTCTGTACACATTGCCTGGATCAGAGCGCCGGCGTGCACGAGCGGGGGCCAACAAGAGGAGGGCGTCCGTCAGCACTCGCTCCAGCCAGCACGAGGACCTGGACATCCAGGAGGCGAGAACTCAAAAGGCCGAAAAGGCAGAGGAGCTTTATGCCACACTACCACCGATYGTTGGCGTCATTAGCCACTTTAATAAAGGTGGGTTGGGCCTTTTAAAAATGCCAAAAAATAAATATCAGGATAAACAGACTGAGACAAAATGTCACAGCAATTTTTCTTCCTCGTTGCAGATTCCAACCCAATTATGCGTTTCAAATGCCCCTTTTGCACACACACGGTGAAGAGGAAGGCTGACCTGAAGCGTCACCTGCGCTGTCACACGGGGGAGAGGCCGTATCCGTGTCAGGCCTGCAACAAGCGCTTTACCCGCCTGGAGCATCTCCGCAGCCACTTTGAGACGGTAGATCTTTACACATTTGCGTTGAGATACATTTCAATAAACGGATTTGCATTCTCACTTTGTTTACGCTTCAACAGATCCATCAAGCCAGGAAGCTGGTGTGCAGGAAGTGCAAATGTCAGGTGACAGAAGAGACTGGCCATGTGGTTTGTGAGGGCACGCGCCGCTACCGCATGTGCACCACCTGCATCCAGGAAGTAGGCTGTGACGACGTCCCCATGGACGGTCTGCAGGCGTCCAGCGAGGAGCCAGCTCTGCTACTGGGCGTGGACGGTGAGGAGGAGGGGGACACCAAGAGGAACTGGATGGTGAACGATGACGATGACCTGGCTGAGGACTCGGGGGCGGACCTCATCATCCAGCAGGTGGATGACAGCGATGAGGAGCTGCCGTGAAACAGGACCAAAGTGTGTGCAGACAAAAAAGCCACGCGAGAGAATTTAGAACTTGTGCATAAACTTTGTGGTCCAGTGGTGTAAATACACACGTCTGTGTTGTATTAGGAGTCAGTTAGTTAAACACGACTATTATTTCATTTCAGTAAGACGGTGGTGAGGATGAAAGCTTTTTGAACGTCTTGCTGAATATATGCAGTATTCAAAGCATGCATAATATGTGTTTATTTTGGTTCTGTGGGAGTTGAATTATAATCTTTTCAGTAAGTATTTATATGCATGAAAAGCAAAACATATCTGCAGCGTTTTTTGGACTTTTTCTAGTAATTTAAGACACATAGCATCTCAGACTGAATTATGGCTCAGTAATTCATTTAAAATGAGAAAATCTCCCAAGACACATATGTAATTTTTATATTATTATTATTTTGCTTTTAAGTTGTTGCTTGACCCTTATATGCACCATGACACAAATTATTATTTATTCGTCTTTAATTTTGTCATATTAAAGATATTTTTGTATTTGTACAGTTGTTTATGAGTCATCATTTTGAGCTAAAACTAAAATTAGACTTGAGATGTTTTTCTCACTTGCTTATTCTCTTTCTTTAGTATTACAGTGGGCAGTAATTTACTTCAAACATACCTGATAAATAATGTGCTCTAGTGTAGGTCTTTTTCTTTTAGCCTTTTTAAGTTTGTTTTTTAAGAAACAGTCTCTTAAAACTAAAGTATTTTGAACTTGTTTTTCTTGGGTTAGTGGGAAAAACTTAAAGGTCAATAACAATCAGTCAAATTTCCAAACAAATTATTAAGACTGTTATAAGCTCATTTCGTTGTTGTTTCACTTTATTCATTTCATTTGTAACACAAATTAACAAAGTACAAAAAAACATGCAATCAAAATAAAATCAAATAAAATGAAAGGCAGCAGAAGAAGAATAAATCTTATAATATCTGCCCCTTTTTTATACCCAAAATATGTTCAAAAGAAAAGTAAATTACAACAAAATCAAAACAACTGAAAACACTCAAAAAAACAAAAAATTTAAAACACCAACTTAAACAACAATTTGCAGGAATTCATTTATACTTCTCCATATTTCTTCAGAATACCAGTTTTTATCATTCTCTTCAATATATACAAGGATCTGGCACTTTAAATCTCATCTTCCATGCTGTTCCACAATCTTATTCCCTGGATTAAAGTGGATCGCTCCTTCAGTCTCGTACGAAACCAGGGTTTCACAAACATTTAGATTCCCTTAAGATAATAACAGCACTCTCTTTTAACAAAATTTACTTGAATGTTGGAAGAGAACACACCTTTATGAGCTCTGTACATTAACAGCAAAATATTATAATCGACCAAATCATAGAATTTTAATAATTTCAATTCATGAAACAATATATTCGATGGATGGCTATCAATTTTTCTAGTAATAATTCTTAGTGCTCTTTTCTGTAAAATTAAAAATAGGATTTGTGATAGTTTTACAAGCTTTACCTCATACTTCAATACAGTAAATTAAATGTGGAACAATTATAGCATTATGTATCATAAATGGTGCTTTATCATTGAACAGTTCTCTTACTTTGTACAGGACTCCAATAGATTTGGCTATTTTTGTTCCATTTACATGATTTTTCCATGTCAGTTTTTCATCAATAATGACACCTAGAAACTTCACTTCACTGACTCTACAGATCTCWACATCATCAATTTTAAATGAAACATCTATAGTTCTCTTATTGTTACAGGAAATCACATAATTTGTCTTGTCCAAGTTTAATGATAATTTATTTAGTTGAAACCAACTTTGTATTTTCACAAATTCTGTCTGTACCATCTCCAGCATTTGTTTTATATCTTTACTGGAACAAAAGAATGTTGTATCATCAGCAAATAGAACACACCCAAATATCCCGACACATTGACCAAATCGTTCACATACAAAATAAATAACTTAGGTCCGAGAACGGGACCCTGCGGCACTCCACGAGATGTTACAAAACTCAGATCTTACATTATTTATTTGTACAAATTGTTTTCTATCTTCCAAACAACAAGATACCCACCGTAATGCAGGTCCTCTAATACCATATTTATTTAGCTTTTCAAAAAGAATACTGTGGTTAATTGTATCAAACACTTTTTTCAAATCAACAAATATACTAACACAGTTCATAGTTAAGTTGTCTTATTTTTATAACAAACTTAAAAACAAAAATTAGCAAATCAGCAATAAATATGAGCTTCAATAAAGCAGAACAATATGATAAAATAATGTAAAAAAATAAAGCTATGTAGAGAAAGAATCAAATTTCAAATGATCATCAGTTCCAGTTTTCTACCGGTAGATGGCGTGCGTTTCTTACCAGTTATCTCTGCTACAAGCTTTGCTTTGAGAACAGGAAGTGACGTCAAGTCAGGCAATGATGGCGAGCGCTATCAGGCTAATCAACAGAAACATTTTAAGACCAAGAACTGGACAGCAGTACCTGGCGTTCAGTTCTGTAATCCATGTCAAAACGGTGAGTTATTTTATTTGATTTCCCCGGCAGGTTGAAGTGGAAATATTTATTTGAAACACGAAGAACAGCAGCGGTTAGATGTAGATGTCTGTGTCTACAGGAAGCTAGTTCACTGACCGAGGGGGTAATAATTTTTTTAGCATWCGATGTTGGACAACTTATAAAAGCTGTTCGTTTCCCCCCTCAGGCTGGTTTAAGAGCAGGGATTGCTCTTCCTGAAAAAGTGAAAATAGTGGAAGTGGGACCCCGAGATGGTCTTCAGAATGAAAAGGTAGGACATGTGTTTTGTTTACTTGTTTAATTTGTTTAAATCGGTTTCTAACTAACCAGGTAATGCATTAGTTAGTTGGTAGTTACAATACATAGTTTCCCATCAGTGTTCGGGCGGAGCAGGTGCATTTCGGGCCGTGTACAAAACATATAATCACAACATAATATAATCAGGTCTTTGCAGTTTGATATTTTGACTATATATATAAAAAAAACGAGTTGCACGAGTAAAAGCATGAAAGTTCTCACTGAATAGAGCACAAGATATACAAATCATTGGCACATTATTGTTTAGTTTTATTAGATTCAGCAAAACAGAGCTGCTTTTTATTACTCATGGCAACTGTTAAATATAAACAGGAAATGCACTTTTTTTCTTGTGGATATCCTCTTTTAGGCGTCATTTTCCAGTTATAACAACCAGACTCAACAACTTTAAACATATTCATTTTTTTCTTACCTATTTTTTGTTTGTTTTGTTTTGTTTTGTTTATCTGAAAAAAGTAAAATCAGTCAATCTAACTCAAATGTATACAATTTTAGAACCAAAATTCAGACAAATGGTTATTTAAAAATGTGTATAAGTTAAATGGGTCATAGTTCGTAAGTGATGCAATCCAGAGACATAATGTGAGTCATGCATAGTCATCATTGTTTATCGCGTCTTTTTAATGTTTTTGTTTCTTCTCAGACTGTTGTTCCAACTGAAACAAAAATTAATTTGATCAACATGTTGTCAGAGTCAGGACTGCCAGCCATTGAGGCCACCAGCTTTGTGTCTCCTAAATGGGTTCCACAGGTGAGTATATTCCTCRTAAAAAGCTATTTTCAAAGAAACTGACACACCCCACTGAATACACAAAATTCCATGTGCTGGAATGAATGAGATGTGTGTGTTTTTTTAAGTTGCTAACATGTTTTTGTCATCCAAATGTCAGATGGCCGACCAGGTGGAAGTGATGCAAGGTATTAGTAAGAAACCAGGAGTGTCCTATCCGGTCCTCACCCCTAATCTCAAGGGTTTCCAGGCTGCTGTGAGTGTCAAACACGACAACGTATTTTACGTCGACTCCTATATGCACCATGTGTATAAACCGTACTGTGTCTCATTTCATCTTATACTCTAGGTAAAGGCAGGAGCCTCAGAGGTGGCCATATTTGGTGCTGCGTCGGAGCTGTTCAGTAAGAAGAACATTAACTGCTCCGTGGAGGAGAGTTTACAGCGCTTTGACGACGTTATGAGGGCAGCTAAGGAGGCGGCTGTGCCAGTAAGAGGGTATGATTGCTGGCCTACTTTTGGCTGTCAGTAAACCAGTAAATCATTGTGACTTGTCCTTTAAATTCTCACATTAGTGTTTCTCCTCACCGCAGTTATGTCTCGTGTGTCGTTGGATGTCCTTATGAAGGCAAGGTGGCACCTGAAAAAGTCGCATATGTGAGTTCAGACTTGATATACGCTGCGTTAGGTCAGAGAGTTCAAAGCCATCTGTCACTGTTTGACAGTATTAAATAACAAAAGCTTTTCTTTTTTGTCTTGCAGGTAGCTAAGCGTTTGTACTCAATGGGCTGCTATGAGATCTCTTTGGGTGACACCATTGGAGTGGGGACTCCTGGTAGTATGACTGAAATGTTAGAAGCTGTGAGCAAAGAGGTACCAGTCAGTGCCTTGGCTGTGCACTGTCACGACACTTATGGCCAGGCTCTGGCTAATATCCTCGTAGCCTTACAGGTCAGCATGAGTTTATGTTGTTGTACTCTGAAAGTGACATTAATGTGCTCAAATGTCTGCAGTGTTATTGCAATTATGCCATCATGGTTAAGATTTAGTTTGTGTCTTTCAGATGGGAATCAGTGTTGTAGACTCGTCAGTAGCTGGACTGGGTGGCTGTCCGTACGCCCAGGGGGCTTCTGGGAATGTTGCAACTGAAGATGTTGTTTATATGCTGCATGGACTTGGGATTCAAACAGTAAGATTTAAAAAATACATATATATATATATATATATATATATATATATATATATATATTTTTTTTTTTTTTTCAGTTTGTTTAAGGTTCAATAAAATGAATGAATAAATCGTTCTTTTGAAAAAATAAAATATGCATCTGTCATAATACAAAAATTAGGGATGTCCGATAATATAGGCCTACAGATATTATCGGTCCGATGTTAGCATAAAAATGTAAAATCTCTACACATCGATATCGTTTTTTATTCTGATAACAAAAGCCCGATAAACTAAAGCCTGGGTTTGACCAAAATGTGTTAATAAATGCTTGTGGTCCAGAGACGTTCACCGGTGCGCAATTGATGACATCATCAAACTGGATTATCTCATGGAGAGGACTATTGTTTGAGACAAAATGGCAGTTTTTTCTCTAACTTCAGTTAAATGGTTTTTATTTTTGTACAGACAATGTTTACCTGTGGAATGCATCCAGTGGGGTATCAAAAAGCAGGCATAATGTCCCTGACAGGAGATATGTGATGTCACTTTAATATCGGTTTGTAATATCCGTTGATATTGAAATTGGAAATTAAGTGTTGAACAATATCGGCAAAAAGTCAATATCGAGCATCTCTAACAAAAATATACAAAATGGTTTAACCATAAACCCTTCAGTTCTAGATCTACCTTGATGTCCCTTCCCAGTGGGATAAACCTGGRGAGCTTCCAGAGGGAGGCGCTGAGGAGACATCTTTATCTGATGCTCTAATCCTTAAAAAAAAGCACTTAAAGAAAATGTGTGTTATTTCCTGAATTTGTTTATTTTGCTCTTTTTAGGGAGTGGATCTCCAGAAGCTGATGGATGCTGGAGCTTTCATCTGTCGAACCCTCAACAGAAAGACCAGCTCCAAAGTGGCACAGGCTACCTGCAAACTGTAGAGAAAAAAATAGTTATTTCATACTTTTATATAATACTTCATTGTTATTTTACTGATTTATCTTCTTACAGGTTGTGATTACTTTAATCACTATGTGATATCAGTGCTGGAGTTATGCCTTTTGTAAAGTCGGGCAAATTCTTAGGATTTCATCTGTCAAAGGCTCTGTTGATAAGTGTTGTAAAGGTTACGTTCTTGTCGGTGGAAAATAACAGGTTTTGTTCAGATTCATCTTTAAAAATGTTTTATTGATAAAGTAGTTAATTTTGGACAAGACAAAAGTGTTCTTTTATTTAATTTTATTTCTTTCTTTTCCTATATTAATCTGTGAAAACCATTGGTCTTTATAAATGTTGGCGTTGATGGCATTATGTAAAAAGTTTTGTATTTTTGTGTCCTAATATGCACTTTGATAGATTATTTATTTTTAAATGCATTATAAAATCTACCAAATCTAAAACTTTGAAGTTTTAAAAGTAAAAACAATTCCACATAAAAATGTGTTTCTGAGCCTAGTTTTTTAACCCTGTAATTACTCAAGCCTGTGACGAGGTGTTTTTGCCTGAAGGTAAATTAGATATTTTAACTGTCGTTGACCATATAAGGTTCAGTAAATGTTGAGATTTGTGGGGATTTTTCACTTTGCAGAAACAATTGGGGACAAACGGTAACATTTCTGTCGTAAGTTTTTAAAACCTGCATGACGAGTCCAGCTGGCAGACTGACCTTACTCAGGTGCTTGCAGCATCTTGACACACCCTTCACATGTAATGGAAAATATTAACCATCACATCTTGACGATTCAGGTCCAATTAAAATAGAACATGATATTTATTAGAACGTCATAATGTGTGAGCAACAATAAAAAACACTTCCAATAGGAATCAAACTATAAAAAACTAGAAACTAATTTGTTTTTAATGCTTTCAGACAAACTAAATTAGTTATGTTCAAACATAATTTGGTTTATAAAGCATCACTTCACAACTAAAATCGTCTCTGGGCTGCTGTGCAAAAACGTTCATATGAAATGACAAGCCTGTGATAAAAAGGTTGCTGGTTCGAATCTCGACTGGTACATCAAAAAAAAGATTTCTATCTAAGAAAGACAGCAGAATGTGATGAATCACTTTTTTTTGCAATCTCATCCTGAGTAGCAGTGGAAAGAAAAAAAACTCAATTTTCACAGGAAGTAACTGCCTCAACCAGCTGAGGTTGGAGAGGGCAGTAAAAAGACATAAACAAAACATGACCATCCAGGTGTAGTTTCTTGTTGGGAGGAAGAAAGAAAGAAAAACACATGTTGATAGAAATAATTTATTACACATGAACATGAACAGTAGAGTGATTAAAGATAGCAGCAGAGCAGTCTAATGGCAGCAGAACTAAGAGATGACTCAGGAAACCAACACTAACTAACTTGATCTTAAAAGTAGAATGTCGGCCTCATGGTTCCACAAGAGAGGAGCCTGATGAATAAAAGCTCTGCCTCCCATTCTACTTTTAGAAACTCTAGGAACCACAAGTAAACCTGCAGTCTGAGAGCSAAGTGCTCTGTTAGGAAAATATGGAATGAGATTTTTAATTTAACCTCTTGAGCCCCATGCAAAACAGCATTTCCTGTTTTCTATTTCTTTTAAATTCTATTAACTTAAGATCTGTAGGTTGAACCTTGACATGTTTGGTATCAATAAAAAGCTAAGAATCTTGACTAAAAGTTCATGGAAACTATATTTACATTCACCAAACAGTTCTGACGACAGGCAGTTGAATCAGAAAGTAAACAAACTACAAAGTGGGATTGYTGCAAATCTGTAAATACATTACAACAAATCTGTAAAGGAAAACATTTTGTCATTTGTTTTTAAAGCAAGTCAAAGACACCATTTCGCCAAAAGTCTTTGCCCTGCACAGAGTCCTGACCTCAACCCAATAGAACACCTTTGGGATGGAGTGGAGACTGAGAGCCAGGCCTTCTGTCCAACATCAGTATGTGACCTCACAAATGTGCTTCTGGAAGAATGGTCAAAAATCCCCATAAACACTCCTAAACCTTGTGGACAGGCTTCCCAGAAGAGTTGAAGCTGTTCTAGCTGCAGAGGGTGGACCCAACCTCATATTGAACCCTATGGATTGGGAATGGGATGTCACTTAAGCTCATTTATGAGTCAAGGCAGATGAGCGAATACTTTTGGCAATATAGTGTTGTAATAAAGTGTGTTGAAAGGTTTTTTTTACTTGATTTTGAGTGAATGTGGTCCAACTGAAGTAAAATCTAATTTCTCTGGTGACAAATAAATGTTTGGATAATTAAGATCAAACATTCAATAACAAGTATTCAGGCAGGTAAGAAAAAATAAATAACTTTTGCAATTAAAAACTTAAGATTTCTCAACATTTATTAATGGTACCAWCATGGTCTCTCCTGTGCAGAATGACAAAATGCAAAATTATTTCTTTACTAAAACCTCTGTAACTTTACTCCATTTTAGCGGCACAGATATTTGCACAGGTAATGTCCACAAGTGGATTTATGGTTCTCAAGAGTTTTTAGCCTGATTCATTATGGTTTGAAATGGGTTATATACTGTCTAATGCAAAATTTATCCAGGTGAGTGAGAAAAAAGTTCCATCCTCAAGATCTCTAAAACAGCAGCAGCTGCTTTAATACTTACATTTCTGATGAAATCTCCCAAGTGTTAGCTTTATTTTGATACCAAGATTAAGTAGAGTTTGTAAATGCTGAGATAGACTAAATTACATTTCAGCATGGTATTTCAAGCAAAAACCTGAAGAAAACCCTTTGGGGCTTAAAGAGGATAAGACGGAGCTTAAAATGTTAGAATATTTAAAGTGTTCTGATTTGACAGGGAGACAATAAAGAGAAGCTAAAACTGGAGTAAGTTGATTTCTCATCAGATTTTAAAGAGTTTTTTTAAACAACAAAGACAAATTTTATTTTCATACATATTTATGTGTAAAAAAGTACAAATATTAACACCAACTGCATATAATACATTTCCACCTGGCGTCCACGGTGGATGTCCAGTGACTGAACTTCTCATGTCCATCCAGCTGTCCTCCCCTTCAGCTCCATCAGAAATAAACAGCAACGTTCCTTTTACCGTGTCGGACTCAGCGGTGGTCTTGGATCAGGCGATGTTTACAAACACGTCGAAACACAAGAAATGAATGTACACCGTGTGGCCGTGCGGCAATAAATCAGAGGCAGAGCAACGAGTTTAACAACAACAAATAAAATGCATTTCAGTCTTATCTGTGAGAAAAAAATGCAACGAAATAGTCYGTTTGGGCCAAAGTCGACACCAAGTGTCGTAGCATTTACACACCTTTAAAGACTTTCTCTTTTCTATCTTGAATTCAACGGAACATCAAACTGTGAGGACAAAGGCACGGTATGAAAATAAATAAAACAGATCCTTTTAAAGGGTTTGGCAAACTCTCAGGAACAAAAGCGTGCTCTGACGCACCGCAGCAGACAACTGGTAGAGAGGTTGAAATACCTCTGCCAGGTGTGTCTCGACTTGTGTGACCGTCTCAATTCCCTCCTGACCCGAAGTCAGAGCTCCAGCTTGTACACGAATGTTTTAATACACAGGGCAAAAAAAAGCACGTAGACATTTACGGCATTTAAAAACCACACACATCACTAGCAAACAAATCAATCTGACGTTAATAGATGACTTGTAAATATTGTTCGCGTAGACCTGGAAACCACAGTTCAATGTGATTTTTTGTAAAAGTCTTTGACACAAATGTCCACAGGAGGAATCCAGCAGTGATGACTGAATGTCCAGGCTCTGATGCACTCCGCAGCTTGGCTCGCAGTTCTGAGTTTTCAGGTTTTGGGACGCAGCCAATGCTCCGAGCTCTTGATTTCAGTGGCAATCATGAAGTGGAGGACAGGTTTGGAGCAGAGGCCCGTATCTTTTTATCAATACTGAGCGTGGGCAGCTGCAGGAACGCGTGGTTTTCTATGTCCTTAAAGGATGGTGGATTGTCCAAATTACGTCTCGCCATGTTCAGGTTGTAGTTGTTGTAGGAGTTTTCGTTCCTGTATTCTTGCTGGTGGTTGTTCATGTGGCGAGAGCGCGTTTTGATCTTGTTCGCACATCTGGCGATGCGCTTGGACAGGAGATAAATGATCTCGCAGATATTCAGGACGATGCAGAGGGCCGAGGCGCCAACCATGAAGTAGGTGAAGACCTTCTTTTCTGTGGGGTGACCGATGTAGCAGTCCACCGTGTTGGGGCAGGGCGACACCTGGCACTTGACCACACGGGGCAGGTCGAAGCTGTCGTAGATCCGGTGGAGGATGTAGAGGAAGGAGATCTCGATGCCCGTCTTGACGAAAAGGCTGATCATGTAGGTCCACCACAGGCCGCCGTGCTTCTTGCCCGTGTTGTTGTACAGCTTGCTGTCCTCGCCGTGCTTGGCCCTGTGCTTGCGCTCGCGGTCGTCCCGGTACGCCACGTGCATGACCACCATGAACGACGGGCACGTGACGAAGATGAGCTGCAGGGCCCACAGGCGGATGTGGGAGATGGGGAAGAAGTGGTCGTAGCAGACGTTGGCGCAGCCGGGCTGCTTGGTGTTGCAGTCGAAGTCCTTCTGCTCGTCGCCCCAAACCCGCTCCGCCGCCACCACGTACACCAGCACCCTGAACACGAACACCACCGACAGCCACACTCGTCCGAACGCAGTGGAGTACTTGTTCACCCCACTGAGGAGGGCTTGGAAGGTCTTCCAGTCCATGGTTTCACCTGGCAGTCAAATATCTCCTTTGTTCTTGCTGGTTTGAATTGGTCTTCAGGCCTAAAAGATACAAAGCAGCCATGTATAAAACTGAAAGTGGATAAAATCAGTGGTGGAGAAAGTACTYAAACATTGTGATTAAGTAAAAGTACAGMTAAACAGACAAGAATTTACTCTAGTAAAAGTAAAAGTACCACATTAACATTTTACTTGAGTAAAAGTAAGTACTTGCTTTTAAAAATACTTGCTTAATGTATTCCCTAATGGTCTACAATATCATGAAGTGTGCCTACTGTATGTATATTTTAAAACATYAATGGTGCCATTTTAGAGAACAATGCTGCAGATAATGCATAGTTTTGTGTTTACACTCTGTGACACTGTTCACACTTGGACTTGTGATTCTGTGCATCATCATGGATTGTGCTACAGAAGCTGTAAATTCACCAACAACCTCCTCTGTCAAATCTCAACACGTCCTTTTTTTGAACCGGTTAAATAAGGCCATGAATGGCGCATTTCCTCCATGGTGGAAACCATTGTGGGCATGCTGATGCTCTGTTTTTTTATGAAGGAGGGTGTAATGGTACTTTCCTGCTTTGTTCAATGGACCAATTACAGCGATCCCCCTTCTCGCCACTGATTACTTTCATATTAAAAAAGCAAATAAACCACACACACACACACACACACACACACACACA